AGGCAGGAAATGGGTTTACAAGATTAAATTTAATGATGATAGGAGTATAGAAAGGTGCAAGACAAGGCTTGTGACAAAAGAATACACACAATGAGAAGGCTTGGATTATCATGAAACTTTCTCACCCGTAGCAAAAAAATGGTTACTATAAGGACACTATTGGCTGTTGTAGCAGTGAAAGGATGGTTTCTGCATTAATTTGATGTTAATAACGCCTCCCTACACGAAGATTTGGAGGAGAAAGTATACATGGAACTACCACCTTGATATCACAATGAGAATGACAAGAAAGTATATAAGTTTAACAAAAGTCTTTATGGAGTTAATTGGAAACTCTCTAGCTTTATCATTCAACTTGGATATTCTCAATCTAAGGCGGATTATATTTTATTTACAAAGTCAACACATACTTCCTTCACAACCGTTTTAGTGTATATAGATTACATAATAGTTGCTGAAAATTTTGTAAAGACAATCAATCAGCTGAAGTGCTTACTTGATGACAAGTTCAAAAGTAAAGATCTTGGCGAGCTGAAGTACTTCCTTGGAATTGAGGTGGCAAGATTAGCAAAATGAATTTATTTATCTCAACGGAATTATGCATTGGATATTTTGACAGATTCAAGCACTATTGGTTCAACTCCACCCACAATTCATTTAGACCAAAATGCCAGATTATCTAAAGAAGATGAAGAGATCCTTCGAGAACCTAGCATTTATAGAAGGTTAATTGGCAGGCTTTTGTATCTCACGATAACAAGACCTAACTTGGCGTACTCGGTTCAGATGCTAAGTCAGTTTATAGACAATCCTCGATTGCCACACTACATGCAGTCCACAAAGTATTAAGGTACATCAAAAGGGCTCCAGGACAAGGATTGTTTTATCCAACAAATACAGAGATTCAACTCAAAGGCTACAGTGACTCAGACTGGAGAGCATGTTTAGACATGAGAAGTTCGGTGATAGGTTACTGCGTGTTTGTAGGAAGCTCTTTGGTATCTTGGAAATCAAAGAAACAAACCATAGTCTCTAGATCCTCTACAAAGGCAGAGAATAGAGCCATGGCTAATGTTTGTTGCAAATTAACTTGGCTCAAGTATTTGTTCATAGATCTGCAAGTTTCACATCCACGGGCTGGTCTTTTGTATTATAACAATAAGTTAGAGATATATATTGCCACAAACCCTGTATGAGAGAACTAAACGTGTAGATATTGATTATCACTTAATTCGATATAAGATTCAAGAAGGAAGCATTTTGACAAAACATGTATCTAGCAGTTCACAAATGGCAGACATCTCACTAAGAGCTTAGGCTCTCAAAACCTTTATTCTTGTATGCTCAAGATGGGAGTAGAAGACATCTACACTCTATCTTGTGGGGGAGGGCGCTGTTGAAAAATGAAGGAGAAACTGAGCTGCACCAACAAGCCTATAACAGATTGGAAAACATGCCCATAACATATCATCAAACGGCCCATAAATGAGTAACCCATATCAGATCATCAGAAGGCAAGAAGGATCTAGAGAAGAAGAAAAGAAAGCTTCCAGAAGCAGGCTAAAAGGAATGTGCTGTTAGTTAGAGAAAGTTGTTATGCAAGATGTTGTATATATTAAAATTCATTTTCTTTACATTTTAGAGTTTGTTAGACTCGATTCCTTTGTACTTCTATAAATTTAGCCATTGTACAACCATTAAAGGAATGAAAAATAAGNAACCATTAAAGGAATGAAAAATAAGATTGAATTTATATTCAAGAGTTCTTTGTTCAAATATTCATTCGTGCAATTGGCTAGTCTTGCAGTAGCCCACATTCAAAATCTTATAAAAGTAGTCATCTATATCTATATTATCTAATTTGTTCCCACTGTCGATATTATAGTGAGTTTCCGACTACTTACTACAACTCGTAGTATGTTGACTTTCACAGGATTAACTTATCTTTGTCACAAAAATGAAACTTGGATTAGACAGGCTAGTATATTACATGAAAAATGAGTTATATAACACGTTAAAGAGGACTTACACGTATTTTTTTAGAAAATATAAGTAAAGTTAAATTCGTTCTACTGCATATATGTTATTAGTCTAGAAAGACTGATAGATGCTCAAATAGAATATATTCTTAAAGATATCAACAAGTGAGATTTTATCAATGATCAAAACTTTCTATATCATCGCATTCATGCAAGAGCCACACAAAGATTAGAATCTTGCTTCTCAAGCTCGAAAACAACTATTATTTCTCCAGCAAGAAACAATATATCACTGTGTTCCTTCAGATAGCCTTTAATTTTAAATGATCACTAATTTACAAAACCAAGTAAGAACAAATTTGTACAAATTGCCATGGATACACAAATATACTGTTACAGAATGTAAGCATTTTATAAGGAAGCAACAAAGATTTACTACCATTTCACGTCCAGTGTCAAAGCCTCGGAAGGGACAAGGGCAGGTGGTCCCTGTTTGACAACCATTATTTCAACTCTTTTTTCAACGTACTCATTTTCAATCGCACATCCACACAATAAAATATTATGCACTAAACCCAAAACTTTCCCTCATTTTTAAACCACACGTTCTCCAAAAATTCACTATTCAAAACTTTGTTTTTGCCACTTCAATAACAGGCCTAACCTTGTTGAACTCCATTATGGGCTTCAGAACATCTCCTTCGTTTCTTGCTACTACATCAAAAAATGATCGTTCAATATTAGACATTGTTCTACTGTACTGCAGTACATTCATAGCTTCTAATATTTCTCTCCCCCTCCAACTAGAAGCAAAACATGGACGACTCTCTGAATTTCTCTTTTAGAGACCCCAATACAGCATTTAAGTTGCTCTCTCACTTGAAAAACTCTGCACAACTTAGCCCTTGTTTGGCAACTATTATTTACAAACTCATTTTTCTATATACTCATTTTCAACCACACATTCACAATAAAATATGTTGCACGTAAATTCAAAAAAATTTCGTACTTTTTAACCACACATTCTCCTGAAAATCATTATTCAAAACATACTTTTTATCAAATAATGGTTGTTAAACCCCTCAAAAAGCTCGGCTTCTTGTAGTTTGGCCAGATGTAACAATTTTCTGGTAACAATTTAACAGTGTCTCGCAAGGGGAAAAAAAGGGTGTTGTGGTGTGACCCAATTTCCTTATAATTTGGTATTTGACTGAATAAATGAAGTTTAGAGAGTTTGGGTTTGAAAGTCCTAATTGATAAAGATCAAATTTCATCAAAGATTGTGAATTTGGCTTGAAAAATTACTTGGAAATGAAGAAAAACACTTTTGAAGCTTATTTATCGAAAGTTGGCACCACGATGCCATTGTCATGGTGCCTGTGAAAGAAAAAGAGGCAGAAAACCGAAGCCGCAGCACTGGGCATGGGTGCTGCAGCGCTGGCTCCCTTGTTGTTGATTTTGCCCGGGGCGGCTGATGCTTGGCGCCACAAGGCCGGGGCACTAAGAAGACGGCATTGAGGCGCCACTGAGACATGCCAATTCCATTTTTTCCCGAATTTTTTCTTCTCATCTAGAACTCCAAAAAGGCTCATATATATATATATTCCACATACATTCAATAACCTCTTGAGTGCTTGAGCACTTAGATTTCTATTGAGATCTTGATATTGTAAATACAATTACTATTGATTATAGTGAATTTTTCCTACTCTATCTATGATTTTTTTCTCATATTAGGTTTTCACATAAATTTTGGTGTTTTTATTTTATTCTTGTTTATTTCGTTGTTGTCATTATCTTGCAACCAATTCACAACAAAAAGGTTTCAAGTCTTGTAAGCAACCACTAATGCAAACACCTAAATGCATAAAAGTGATAATGCTGAGCACACTGTTGACGGAGGGTTGATGGGCACTAGTTTGGTCGGAGGTCTACAATCCTGTTACTCGTATATTGTAGGTTACAACTTGATTTACTCTTCCATGTGGCATGATCTTAACCCCCGGTGGGAATATCATGCTAAATGTACATCAAAGTGTACAATTGAGAAAATGACGTATAATAATTCGAAATAGAAGAGGGAATTGTTTGTCAAAGATTTTTTTTTATGAATGATTAATTCAACCGCATAACTTAAAAGAAAATGGAATAAAGAAAAAAAAAATGAAATCCAAAACCAAAATTTGTTATTCTAACTAACATTTAGCCCATGTTTGATTTTGATTGATTGATTTATTTCTTTATTCAAAATCACTTTTCCTTAAATTCATTTTTAAATAAACAATCTTAGAATAAAATAATTTTACACGTGAATCCATAATTTTTTTAATAGATCAAAAGGGAATCTCCTTTGCTATATTTATCAAAAAAAATTAAAAAGTACTTAATAATGAAGGAGTTTTTGAATAACATTGATTCCGTTCACTCTTTGGAATGTTTGTTTGAACACAGCATATAATTTGTATGATCATTGTGTATCTTAACTTTATCGATTTGTCATGTTATTACAAAAATTCACGTGTTAATAATTAATAAAACTAAAATAAATAATAGTAAATGAAAGGCATTATGTATAATTAAGATTGATACTATTATTTAATCTTTTAATCAAAAACCATCATCCCTTCCATCAAGCCAATAACATAATATGAATAGTTAAGCATATATATTAGCCACATTTTGTGTAAAAAAATGAGTTTTGTAGTAGTTATTTTTTGAAAAATATTTAGTTAAAAAATAGAATATATATTTTTTAAAAATTTACGTAAAAATTATTTTATTAAAATAATGTGATTGAAAATGAGTTTACCTGTTTGATGACCAAAAACAGAAAAGATTAGGCTCTTAGCAATAATAACTGCTGAGATTATCTGCTCCCAAACAACACTTAATATTCACATATTCTGGAATAAGCCCAAGGAAATTGGGAAAATGATCCATAAAAGAATCAAATCAAGCAGAGATAAATACAAAAAAGTTAAATGAAGCCATTTTTGTCCGAAAACTGAGCCGAATGAAGTGTCACGAAAATGCAAAAACATTCCTCTGTAGGGAAGAATCGTACAGAATGCTGGACACTTTTGTGGGAGGCCAGTATCGGAAAACTGATCTACCAATGATGTTTTCGATAGGCAGTGGACCCCTGAAAAAGGCAACAACCACAAATCAGATACAGGTTTCATAGAAATACAATCACCAGTACATATTACATTGTGCACTTCTTTTATTTTATGTTTTTTTTTCCTTTTTGTTGTTTTCGATATAAAAGAGTCATGCAAGAGATTAGCCTAAAGATTTTACAATCAAATGTACCCAGAAAATGTATAGAATATCACAACTTAAGAACGCTAAAAATGCAACAGAAATCAAAATGCAAACCCAATTTACAAATGATCGAAGAGTCAAGTATATTACAAGATATAAATTACCAGTTATGAGAGTCGAAGCTGTTATTCCGGTTGTCTCCCAACACGAACACACAGCCTTCAGGTACAAGCTATATTGAAACAAAAACAATGAGCAGGATTTCTCAAACAAGTTCAGACAATCTTTAGAGTTCACGACAGATAGTCATGAAAAGGCTGAAATAATAACAAGCACAAGACATAACCACTGTGTCCATTTCATAGTCATGTAGCTCCAATATGAAATCTTCGTCTTGAGGAACATCATTCACCAACAGTTTTCCGCCACGCACCTACACAAGGCACAAAATTAGTCTAGGGGATAAAGATGAATAAGATAAAAGCACAGCTTCAACGACTATTTAACGGTAATACTTACTTCTACGTAGTCCCCAGCTTTAGCTACAACTCTTTTGATGAAGACATCACCAGAACTAAAACCACAAAATGTCTTTACATGTAAAGCAAACCCACAAAATGTCAGCTCCATGGTATGACATGAATAACAGAGTACTTTTTCTGTTCAGAATGCAATCAACAAATGCAAAACATACTTGAAGAATTGGAGGTGCCTTGAAAATCACAATATCCAGGATTTCAGGATTCCTGAAAATGTAAGATACCTGAAAGCCAATCAAAACGAAAAGGTCAAACTTATTCTAGGAATTATTTGATATCCACAGCACATGTAGTCCTCTACAAGCAATCACCATTGTTATAATCCATTAGAAGAAGAAAATATTATCACATATGAGCAGATCTCAAAGAAGTATTCAAGATGCGATCTATTAAAACAATGCAATTGAACAAATAGTTTGTGTATTGCATTGAGAAACATAAACCAAATCCTGCAAAACATGGTTCAGTTTTTCTTTATGACACGTTAACAAAGGTTTCTTCCAAAAAAAATGTAGCTAAAACCATTGAAACAATGCCTCAAACATACACGCATATAGAAAACACAAAAAATTGAATACATATCATAATTACAAACAAAATTCTCACACTAATGAACCCAAAAAATTGATTTTGTTTTCTGGGCACAAGCAACTCGATCAAAACTATTTGTATTATTCTGATTCACATCTGAATGGCAGGCAATGCAAAAGAAATATATAAACGCCTTAAATAAGTCCAACAGTAAATTAAATTCTGGTTTCAATTCAATCACCAGTGATTACAAGAACAACATTAAGTTAGTAACTCTACCAAAGCTTCAACTGTGTCAGGTGAAATTATACCTTCTCAGCCATTACACGATCGCCCACGTCAAGTGTTGGGTACATGGAAGTCGAAGGAATGGACCTTGGCTCTGCCAAGGTAGATTTGAACAACATACTGACACTGAAAGCCGTGAAAGCGGCTTTAGCATCCTCTGAGCTGATGGAAAATTTCATCAATTTGGACAGCCAGCTAGTGCTAGTGCCAATACTCTGTTGCAAAACTTTTACACTACCACTAGCACCACCACTTTTGGCCATCGCCAACGCCTCCGAGCATTTACTACTATTAACACTGCTTTTAACCACGTCTTTGTTACTGCTGCTTCTGCTTTCAATGACAACCGTACTGCTTCTGCTTTCAACCACGTCTTTGCTGTTGCTGCTTCTGCTTTCAACCACAACTTTGCTGCTGCTCCTGCTTTCAACCACAGCTGTGCTGCTGCTGCTGCTTTCAATCGGGTCTTTGCTACTGCTGTTTTTGGTGCTACAGATGCGGGTTCCACCTCGATCTACCTCCGTACTGTTGGGCTCGTTGCACGGAAGCCACTTAGAGCCCTGCAAAAATGGAATGACGGTCGATGCCTTGATCGGTGAAATTCCTAAAACCCCCGCGTTGGATGTCCCCATTGACTGCTTCATCAAAGAAATCAGTCCCATAATCAGAGGCGATCGCGAACTGTCGCCCAAAAGTTCCTCTGCCAGCGTCGAGTACATCGACGACTTGGGCTGAACAGAGGCTCCGACAAGACCATGACTGGGTTTAGCCCGGCGGAAATCGGAGTAATTGGAGTCAGGCTTTTGGGACGGTGGGTGATGGAAGATACGGGTACGGAATGCGCACTCGTGGAGGAATCGGGATCCAGCCCATTTGGAGGATGCTGAGGAGGCGATACTCGAGGCGATGTAGCCCGAGTAGGTAACCGTGAACCTGATAGCCATAACAACAAATTGTAACAAGCTGATCAAGAAGTAAAGGAAAATAGTGCGGTTAGGTTTGGACTGTAAGGTTAAAGACAGTTCTACGAGTCGAGAAATGCCATCGTAATTGAAAAAAATCAGTTACATATTGTAGGAATAGAAGAAGAATTGAAAAGTGTGATCAGATCGGGAAAAAATCGTAGGTGGATTAATATTAGAAGGCAAAACTGGAAAAGCTTAACCCTAAAACCGGTGAAGGGCAGAGCTTTTCCGATGAATTTGGAAGGGGGGCGGGGGGAGGGAAACTTAGAAAACAAGAATAGAGATGAGAATTTGGGCTTAATTCTAAAAGGAATAGGTTAGGGTGCTGCTGGCTGCGGGGTAGATGGATATTACACACCCTTCGCGATTATTGGATTAATTACGGAAAGACCAAGGGAAGATATTATTTTGAAGAATTTATAAATTTTGGAATAGCGTTTGATGAGAAATATATGGTTGAAAAATAATGAAAAGTTTTAAATTTTTATGCAATATTATTTTATTTAAAGAATGGAATTATTAGCATAAAATGTCCCTACCTTTGACATTTAGTGTGTAAAACATCCTTTTGTTTCAATTTTTTTTTACATTTTCACTCCTATTTCCACGGTTAATTTCACAAACGGTCACTGAAATTACGTCAAAATCACAAAACGGTCACTGAAGTTTAAAACTTGCACCAACAGTCACTGAAGTATCATTTTATTTCAGTAATGGTCACTGAAGGACTTTTTCATTTTAATTGAAATTTAATAGACCAAAATAGTTGAAACTTGAACCTTGAGGACCTAAAGCAAATTTGACAAT